GCCCGTTCTTCGGAGGTTCCTCGGGCTCCCTGGGTTCCTCGGGTTCCCTGTGTTTTTCGGGTTCACCGCCCCCAGTTGCCCCAAACAGTGCCAAGCAATGCCAAGCGTTGCCAAGCAAGGCCGAATAATGCCAAACTATGGAAAATAATACTAAGCAGCGCCAAACAATGCCAAACAGTGCAGAGCAATACCAAGAAATGCCAACCAATGCCAAGCAATGCCACGCAATGCCAACCAATGCCAAGCGTTGCCAAGCAAGGCCAACCACTGCCCAGCATCGCCAAGCAGTGCCAAGTCGCGCCAGCAAGTGCCAAGCAATGCCAAGCAATGCCAAGCAATGCGAAGCAATGCCAAACAGTGCCAAGAAATGCCAAACAATGCCAAGCCATGCCAAACAATGCCAAGCCATGCCAAACAATGGCAAACAATGCCAAGCAATGCCAAGCCATGCCAAGCAATGCCAAGCAATGCAAAACAATGCCAAACAATGCCAAACAATGTCAAACAATGCCAAGCAATGCCAAGGCAAGTAGTGATGCGCCAATGCAATAAGCTTTCCCCTAATTTGGGTCGCGCCAGGTTCATTGGTACTGCAGGTGGAGGGAGGGAATAGGAGGACGGACGGGGGCAGGATGGAGGATCATCAGTTTGATTATTTAATCGCTTCGCTCATTCCGCCGTCTCATATTGCCTCGCCGCTGTCGTTTGTCGGGGTATTGTTGTCCATGCGGTGCGGTTGGGCGGCTGCCATTTTTCGGAGGCGGTGGGTGGCGGGTCAGAGGCCTCACGGATGTTGGTTGGGCTTTCGCGGTTGGCCTCTCAGGGGCCTTTTGCCAGGCAGTTTTGAGGCCTTTTGGGGGCCGTGTTGGGGCCTCTTGGGGCCTCTCGGGCCTCTTGGGGCATCTCGGGGTGCTTTTTGGGGGCCCCTTGGGGCTTCTTGGGAGCCTCTTGGGGCATCCTGGGGGCCTCTTGGGGCTGAAGGCTGGACTTTTTGGTTCCTGGTCCCCTTCTTTGGCCCCTCTTGGGGCCGTTTTGGGGCTCTCTTGGGCCGTCTTGGGCGCCTCTTTGGCTGTCTTGGGGCCAGCCTGGGCCGTCTTGGGGCCCTCTTGGAGGCTTCGTGGGCCGTCTTGGGGCGGTCTTGGAAGCCTCTTGGGCCGTCTTGGAGCGCTGGTAAGCCGAAAAGGCGAGAACGCCAGAAACCGTCAGAAGCTGAAGGTATATCACTAATTTCTGCCTCTGTGGGCCCTCTTGGGAGGTCTCTTGGAGGCTTCTTGGGGCGTCTTGAAGGCGCTTTGGGCTGTCTGGAGGCAATCTTTGGCGTCTTGGATCGCTCTTGGGCCGTCTCGGACCATGTTGAGCTCTCTGGAAGGCCACTCGAAGCGCTCTTGGGAGCCTGCTGGGACTTGCCTGGGACCTGCCCGGGACCTGCCCGGGACCTGCCCGAAATCTTGTCAGGACCTTGCCGGGACTTGCGGGGGTATTCTTCGTCTGGGGACCCCCAGGGGCGGCCCCGCGCGCGCGAAGTAGAAATACTGTCAACCAGCTGCCGGAGATCTTGGCACGCCCTCGGCCCGTTGGGCCGACGAATCTCTGTCAACAACCCAGGCAAGCGATGCCTTGTTTTTCAAATTGGGGTCTCAAAAAGTTCTGACCCTTTCCCCAGGGCGGGTTCTTCATCCCGAGTTTTTTGTGGGCCCCTGGGCCCAGTGTGGGCCCCTGGAGGCCCCAAACCGCAAACAACTCGGGCTTCGATTTCTGTTGAGACATGGGGCTATGTTTTGGAATGGAGCGCTTGTGGCGGAGACGGGGGGGGGCCCCCCTTCCTCGCGGCAGGAGTACTACCTCGCGATCATGCGCATGCACGCGGCGCTTGCGGCTAAGCACCAGAAGTGCCAGGATCCCTTCCGTCCTCCGTCCACCACTGCCTCTTCCCCCCTCCTCGTTTCTTCCCTTCCCTCTACTTCCCTGCTTCTCTTCATGGCACCCGTGCCACTGGTCCCTTTTCCCAGGTAAGCAGGCAGGTTTCACCAGATCGTCACCTCGTCCGTGCCTGTCCGAGGGTCGTGGGCAAACGCGATGTTCGGCAGGGGCGGTCGGGGGAAAGAATCTTGCACCTCGTCGCCAGTTTTGCCCCGCCCGTCTTTCCCACGGCCTGGATCCCTCGCCCAGGCGCACGTGGGGGTGTGTTTGTCTCGCGTGGGAGTGATGGCCACAGGGCGTGTTGTAATCTGGGGGCGCTTGCGCCCGCCACTTCGGCAATGTCAGAACGCGTGGCGCTCCGAAGTGCGTGCTGCCTATGTTGGTGGCGACCACGTGGGCCCTGTGAGCAGGAAGGTCGGATTTTTAGTTTTGCTCGGTTGTTGGTTGGGTTCCCCGTTGGTAAGCACAGTGGCTTGTGGCTGCGGCTGCCTCTCTGCTGCTCCCCTCCTGTTTGCGGACGCCACGTCTTGTGTCGTTTGAACTTGATTAGCACGTATGGAGAGCCCTGAGTGTTTTGGCCACGGCTGGAGCGGAGCTATTCGCGTTGATGGTGGGTTGCGTGTGTGCGCGTCAGGAGAATCCTGGATAATCCCCTGCGCTTCTTCCCCGTCCTCCTCCTTCCCCTCCTTCTCCTCCTCTCCATTTTTCTCCTTCCTCCCTTCTCTTCCGTCCTCTCCTTCCCTCCTCTTCCCTCCTGCTCCTCTTCTTCTCGCCCTTGGAGCTGAGGGGCGCAGTTCGAGGCCCGAGTTTTTTTGAAAGGGTTGCTGCTTTCTTTTGGCAGCCGGGGACTTCGGGGACTTCGGCGACCCCCAGTTTACCAGCCTGGAACATATCCCTATCCCTATGCTGGGCACCTCCTCATTTGAGGGCGAATCCCTAAGATTGTCATCGCCTTTTGGCGTGTCAATCTTAGGGATAGGGATACGTTCGAGGCTTGTAAAGTGACCTCTGGGGACCTCCTGCTCCGCCCCGGCAGGCTTTCGGGCACGGCGCGAGGCGGAGGAGACAGCGGGGCGCGCGCACGTCGCCCAGCTGCGCGTGTGCCGGCTGCGCCCAGGAAGAACAAACTTTGATGGGTACGAGTTTCAGTATAAACACGAAACATAGGAGTGAACCGCATAGTAAGAATAATACCGCGGTGCGGTGCCGAATTGTAATAATAGTACGAAGGCTGATTCGCATGATAATGGTAATCATCGTTCGAATATTTGAGAGAGCGTGATCCACCGCCGCTTTACTGTGGAAAATTGCCAATTTTTTCCTCCGGAGCCGGGGGTCGCCCCCCCCCCTCCGAAAATCCCTCCCCCCTCTGCTGGAAACCCCCCCCCCCCCCCTCTCCCCCGGCAAAACCCCCCCTCCCCTAACCCCTCCCCCTCTCCACCCCCCCACCCTCCCGCTCGAAAACCGGGGGGGTCACTACCGTTCGAACCCCTCCCCCCCCCCCCCCCCCCCCCCTCTCCGGATCCGGAAAACCGGGGGGGGTCACTACCGGTTCGAACCCCCCCCCCCCTACTCACCGCCAGCAAACGACTCCCGGTCCCCACCACCGTCCGCATCACATCCCCCACTGGTGTTCCCAGCACCACTGTCCTCACCACCGCTGTCCCCACTGGTTCCACCACCGCCCCTACTGTCCCCACCAGTGGCCCCACCACTGTCGCACTGTCCCCGCTGTCCCCAGAACTGTTCCCACCACGGTTCCACTCTCCCCACTGTCTCCACGGCCCCAACCACTGCCCGACTATCCCCACTGTCCCCACTGTCCCACTGACTCCTCCGCTGTCCCACTGAGCTGTCCCACTGTTCCCACCACTGTCCCCACTGTCCCCACCACTGTCCCCACTGTACCTCTGTCCCATTGTCCCACCGCCGTCCTCGCCACCGCCTTCACCACTGTCCCCACCACCATTGTACCCTCCACTGTCCCACTGTTTCCACCTCATTCCCATTGTCCCCACACCACTGTCCCCACCACCACCGTCACCACCACTGTCCACTGTCCCCCCCTGTTCCCACCATTGTCCCCACCACTGTCCCCACCACTACCGTCCCCACCACCCCACTGTCCCACTGTCCCCACCACTGTCCCGCTATCCCCTCACCACTGTCCCCACCAACACCGTCCCCACCACTGTCCGCACCCCCACTCGGTTTTCGAGGAGGGGGGGGGGGGGTTCGAACCGATCGTGACCCCCCCCGGTTTCCGAGGGGGGGGAGGGGGGGAGGGGTTCGAACCGGTAGTGACCCCCCCCCCTTTTCATGATGAGCTGGGGGGGGGGGGGAGGGGGGAGGGGTTCGAACCAGTAGTGACCCCCCCCGGTTTTCCGGAGGGGGGGAGGGGGGGGGGAGGGGTTCGAACCGGTAGTGACCCCCCCCGGTTTTCTGCCAGCAGCGGTAGAACACGCTCTTTCGAATATTTTCAATATTTTACGTCGGAGCTGTAGTATTATTACCAATTGTAACGGTGACAGCAGTAGTGGCGGTCATGTTAGTAGTAGTAGTAGTAGTAGTAGTAGTAGTAGTAGTAGTAGTAGTAGTAGTAGTAGTAGTAGTAGTAGTAGTAGTAGTAGTAGTAGTAGTTAGCAGTAGTTAGCAGTAGTTAGCAGTAGTTAGTAGTAGTAGCAGTAGTAGTAGTACTCG